TACCCTCGAAATCTGATGGAGTCACCCTTACAAGGAATTTCTCAGTGGAAAGATATAGGCAGAAAATAAAAATAGCAGGTGCTTTTTCATGAGCACTTTGGCGCTTGGATCATCTATCCTCAACTGTCCTCCCAGGTAGTTTTGTTAAAGTATTGCTGTTTAGCAAATTGTACGAAATAAAGTGGCATAAAACAACAGGCATTTTATTAACATTACAACTTTGTGGGCCAGAAATCCAGTCAGAAATCAGCTGGGCTGTACATACTTCTGTGCCACATGGAGTGTTATTCAGCTAGTGGTTGGTCTGGTATGGGTGGTCCACAATGTCATAATTAAATGCTTAGTTCCTTTGTCAGATGACTAGAAGGTTCTGCTGTATTACTCTGTCTTTCTATGAAGACACAGGATTTCTTCATGCGGTTTCTTCTGCAAAGCAATCAGACTTTTTACATCATGGATCAGAATTTCCTAGAGAGCGAGGCTAATCCTTTTAAACGGTAGGCCTCAACTTGATAGAATATCACTTCCACTGCCTATTAGTCAAAGTTTTCAAGGGGAGGTGATATAAAACCCACCTCTTGAAAAAAAGAATGTCAAAGAATTTGATGTCATCTTTAATCTGCCACACAGTCCAAGTTTGTTTGAAAAATGAGGCCCAAAGACATTAGCAATTCTCTGGGCTTGGGACTGAGTGCATCCCTGTGAATCTCTCATCATAATGGGCCTCTGAGACATCCCTAATAAACCTGAGAATTTTGTTTCTCCAGTCAGGTATTTTCCTGATTCATTGAGCATGGATGTGGCATCACCTTTGGAGAATCACTAAAACATCAACAACAGTGGCTGAAGCCTGCATTTTTCAAAGATAGAGGGAAAAGAGCTACCCGGCATTTGAAGAGATTTCCAAAGATGATGTTCTAATTCCCTTTTAAGAATCAGGTACTTGCCCTAGCCAGTTTGGCTCAGTGGATAGAGTGTCGGCCTGTGAACTGAAAGGTCCCAGGTTCGATTCTGGGCAAGGGCACATGCCTGAGTTGTGGGCTCGATCCCCAGTGGGGGACTTGCAGTAGGCAGCCAATCCATGATTCTCTCTCATCATGGATGTTTCTCTCTCTCTCTCTCTCTCTCTCTCTCTCTCTCTCTCTCTCTCTCTCTCTCTCTCTCCCCTCTTCCTTCCTCTCTGAAATCAATAAAAATATATTTAAAAAAAAAGAATCAGGTAGTCATTGCTGACACATGGTATTGATGGGAATGTTATTTCTTCTCTCCTAATGGACCTAGCAGCACAATTTGCCTAGCTCAGCTTAGTACAACAAAGCCTTCAAAAGGAGGGTGGCTTCATTTCATTAGTACTACTTTGCCGGCTTGGCTTTTCTTAATGTTCCATCTTTCTGTTCACATAACTATCTGGTGCTGCCCTAGAGCACCGTTGTCTTGATTAGCTCAAAAGTTTTGTTCATTACAGAACTCTCAACTCTTTTTTCTTTTCTAACCCGTATTATTTTACAATGAACATGTTCACATCTTTCCAATTCTCAAAATATAAATGAGCTGTAAACTCTCCTTCTGTTGAGCAGGTCCAATGAGGCACAGACTTTGAAACAAAAGTAGAGGTCTATTGATTGATTGTGTCTTACAGGGAGCAGGTATCAACTTGACAGCTCCCACTTTTTGATCTTTAATACAAAAGGATCTTTAACCTCCTCTTAGACAGTAGAGCCAGTTTCTCAAAGGATAGTTTTTAAAATATATGTTTTTATTGATTTCAGAGAGGAAAGGTGAGGGAAAGAGAGAGAGAAATATCAATGATGAGAGAGAATCATTGATTGGCTACCTCCTATACTGGGGATTGAGCCCTCAACCCAGGCATATGCACTGACTTGGAATCAAACCATGACCTCCTGGTTCATAGGTAGATGATTAACCACTGACCCATGCTAGCTGGGCAAAGGGTAGTTTTTGTGTGATGGGAAGGAAGTAGATCTCTGAAACATAGGAAGAAAATTCTATTTCTCACCCACCACAGAACCTTTCATACTTCAATAGTGAGTAATCCTCTCAAGGGTATGATGCTGATAGCACTTATTCTAGACCAGAAGCAAAAATATCACAAGTGTAATATTAAATAGTAGATTTTGTTTAATATGAAACTTCTACATTGAAGGCATTTATACTGGGGATATAATGGAAAGCAAAATATATATGTTCCCTAAACACATGAAGTTGACATTGTCGTGAGAAAAACCAAATAATTAAAATAATGTGCATATCTATATATATAAAAGCCTAAGTGACCCGAACGCTGGAATGACCAGTCTCTATGACACACACTGACCACCAAGGGGCAGATGCTCAATGCATGAGTTGCCCCCTGGTGGTCAGTGTGCTCCCACAGCCAACCTCCTGCGACCAGCTAACCTCCCCTGGTCCCTCCCTGTGGCCGGCCAACCTCCCGTGATCCCTCCTCCTCTCCCCCCATCTGGCAAGCCCCAACCGGCAGCCAGCAGCTGGCAGAAAGGCCCTGGCTGGCCCTGATCGCTGGCCATGCCTAAGGACCTCATCCATGCACAAATGTCATGCATCAGGTCTCTAGTTGTTATATAATATTATGTTTCAAAGTTAAGGAAATTGAATCTGCAAGAGTGCATAAAATATAGTTGACCCAAACTGTCGATGGGAAAGGCTTTATGTACCATAACATGAAATCTGAAGAAAGGGTAAGATGTAATCAAATGAAGAAGTAGAAGAGCATTCTGGACACAAGCAATTACATGTATATATGATCTGATCCAGAAGAAAAATGGCACATTTGAGACACTGAAAGGAGGCCTGTGTCGCTGAGGTACAGAGAACAAAAGTCAGGTTGAAGAGAGTTATATATCTAATCATGTAGAACCTGTGGTAAGTATTTTGTTTTTATCATAAATCAAGTGAGCATCCACTTAAGGGATTTATGCTTGCGAATGTATGATTAAAACTATGTTTAGGGGAAAAATCATTCTAGCTGAAATTTGGAAGATGGATTTGATTGGTGCCAGAGTGGCCTTGAGACAACAATTAGAGATAACATTTTCTTCCAAAGATATGTATGAGTTAAAATTAATACAGGTTGATGGAATATGGTAAGGAGATAAAAATGTTAAACATCACCACAAGAAAATTAACAGTTGCTCAATTCAATAAAAATTTACTTGATACTGGGTTTGGATATTATGGAGGTTTGGAGAAAAGGACAGTGTTGAGTGACTTCAAGATTTCTATATTAAGCAAGAAAATAAATAGTGACTCCATTTTTTGAGACAGAGTGCACTGGATGGAAATTAGAATGAAAGGAAAGATCTCTCTTGGGTAAGTTGTCTTTGTGACATTGGAGCAGAAATGCTTGGTAAGTAGATGAACATATCCTATATAATAAAAGCCTAATATGCAAATTGCCTGAATGGCAGAATGACTGGTGAAACAACCAGTCCCTATGACCCGCACTGACCACCAGGAGCTGCCTCCTGGTGGTCAGTGAGCTCCTACAGCTGGAGTACTGCTCAGCCAAAAGCTGGGCTCATGGCTGGCAAGTGCAGCAGTGGTGGTGGGAGCTTCTCCTACCTCCACTGCAGCACTAAGGAGTGGCAGGCCAAGCAGTAAGGAGTGAGCAGGCGGGTGGTTAAGAGCGAGGGGTCCTGGATTGCAAGAGGGTGCAGGTCAGGCTGAGGGACCTCTCCCCGCCCTCTGCACAAATGTCGTGCATCGGGCCTCTAGTGTGGAAATAAAAAGAGAGGTTTTGACCTGAGATGTAAATTTAAGAGTCATTAGACTGTAAATGATAATTGAACCCATGGACATGGTAAAGGTGCCTATAAAAAGTACACAATAGAAGAGCAAACATTTAAAATGGGAAGCACATTATTACTAAGTATTTTAGCTTGAGCTTATAAATAGGACAACAGATAGAAAAGAATGAGCTCTCAGAAGCAAAGGAAACAAAATGTCCCCTCCCTCCAAAAAATATGGACACTAAAGTGGCCAATAGGCTCTGCTCATAAGTCAGTTAAAAGATGAATGATTAAGAAGTCCCTTGGATTTAGTAGCATAATGATAATCGGGTAGCTAACAACAATTGCTAAAGAATGATTGGGATGACTTGACAAAACAATAAAAAGCAAAGAATTAGAGACTGTACAACAAAAATCTTAAGGAAGATTGGCTATAAGCGGGAGGAGAAATGCAAGGTGATAGTGGAGAAAATTCTTGCATTTAAAATAGTGGTATCTTAAATATGAACATGCTTAATAGTTAATGGGATGGATTTATTGGAAGGCAACAGTTCAATAGAGAGTAGAAAGATGAATTAACTGATAGTGTAAGAATACTAAAAAGATGGAGATGGGTAACAATGAAAGGAAGAGAATATCCTAATAAGATATGATGGAAAACATGGTTGAATCTGCAAGATTAAGAGTAGAAATTGGAATAAATTATTTCTAAGTGACTTCAATTTTCCCTGGAAAGTAGATGGCAAGGTATGTGTGAAGTTTATGTCTAAAATATCTGTGAGATCAAACAAATAAACCCAATTAATGTCCAAGAGTTGTTAGGCACTATAGATTTTCTAATTGAGGTTGTTAATCATGCCATTATATCACAATTTGTGAATTTCTGCAGTTACAACTATATACTTGGATATAAGATAGAGGAAAAATTATCGTCAGCTTCATCTTGAGTGGGTGTGTTGTCAGATAGGTGTGACAACATCACAGGAAAACAAGAGAATCTGTGGTATTGGCAAAAGTGTTATTAAATGTTGAACTATGGAATCTAAACTATGTAAGGATGGAAGTAAAGAAAACAGAGGGTTAATAGTTTAGAAGAATTTAAAAAGAGCAATAAAACTGGATTTTCTGATGATTTTTATAAAAGGAAATAGCTTAATAAGTAAGCTGGCATGAGAGAAGGTTTTGATCAAAGGGCACATAAGATGTGTTTATCTATTTTCTTGTTTCACTACTTACCGACTTCAGGGTGGAGGGCAGATGAGTTATATGGAACATTGGAGATGGAGGGCAGGTGAGTTATATGGAACATTGCAGCATGCGGGGAGGGGGGAAGGTGTTGGTGTTTAGAATTTATGAGGCCTGGTTTCTTTCATATATGGTTATCTTATAAACTTTATATTAAATGTAAAGGAAGAGAGGTGAGAAGATGCCCGCACAACCCTTACTCTTAAGGGAAAACATCAGCTCCAGGTTACACCTTTCTCCCCTCTTGCTTCAGGATAAATTAGGATTTCCACAACATCTGCTATTTCTCAGCTGAAGTGAAACTTTGATCCACCTAAATTAAACTAGTTTGGAATTTTCTGATAGATTTTTAAATAATATGTTGGACATATTCTTATTTAAAAAAAAAAAAAGGTATGGAAAGAAGGGAGGAAAGGAGACAAAAAGGAGGGGAGGGTTAGAGGAAATAAAATGAAGTAACAGCCCTAACCGGGTTTGGCTCAGTGGATAGAGCAATTGGCCTGTGGACTCAAGGGTCCCAGGTTCGATTCTGGTCAAGGTATAGCTGCATGTACCTTGGTTGCAGGCACATCCTCAGTAGGGGGTGTGCAGGAGGCAGCTGATCAATGTTTCTCTCTCATCGATGTTTCTAACTCTCTATCCCTCTCCCTTCCTCTCTGTAAAAAAATCAATAAAATATATTTTAAAAAATGAAGTAACAGTATGAGCTTGAAGTCATTGAGGTAGATGTTCTTAAAAATTTAAGAAGAGAAGTCTGAAGATCAGGACCCACAATGAGATAAACATCTACCAAAATAAAGTGAAATAAAATCATCTGATCAAGGTGAAATGACATATCCTAAATCATGCTGAAACAAAAATATATCTCAACCTTCCAAGCTTTCCCTATGTTTTACATTACTAATTGGAAGCTTGCTCAGTGTGCTAGCCATGCTTTATACATCCTATCAGCATACCTATCATAGTACCCAGGACAGAGTAGTTAATAAATAAATGTTTAAGTGGAGAAAAAAATTAAGCTTATCAAATTTCTGATGTAGGAAATTCTGTCAGATATTTAAAGATTATTAACAATTATATATATATATATATATATATATATATATATATATATATATATATATATATATATAAAACTTTGCAGGAAAGTTCCAGCTTCAAATTATAGGATTAAGAGTTTATATAAATAATATTTACAGTTTAGGTCAACCCTATAAATAGTGTACTATTATTTTCTCCATTCTAAATTAGGGAAGGTGGGCCACAGAATGATTAAGTAACTGGCCCTACATTCACAGATAGCAAATGGAGCAAGAATATGAATCATGACTTTGATTTCTAAAGAGTTTATGTTCTTAATTAGTATAATCCCTCACATTTAAACTGTTCTATACATAGACTTTGGTCCACTACGCTAAGTGAATCTCAGTAGACACCTTGTTTAATATAACAAGTAAATAATTTGAAAAAAAAAGTTTTAGTCCAATTCTTTAGTTATTGGAAACAATGAAAAAAATAAAAAGGATAGTAGAGATTTACCAATGGAAATAAATCAGGTGCTAAATTGGAATTAGAATTTCTTTCTTATCATCACTGACACTTAAATGTGGCAAGGTTTGGCAGAAGCTTTTCATTTAGTACTTTCAACAAACTTCTTAAGTAAATATTTTTATAATGGCCTGATTCTACAAATAAAGAACATGAGACAGAGAGAGATTACATAACTTGTGCAAGGTCACCCTGCTTGTAACTTGCAGATCCCAACTCAGACAATCTGATACCAGCGTATGTACTCTTATGTAATAAAGTACACCATTTCCCTAAAAACTGCCAGAGGATTGGAATAGCCCTTGCAAAACACATAAATGTACCAAACAGAGTGTTCTCAGGAGAGTGACTTCCGTGTCACAACATTGCTACCCTGAGTCACCTGAATAAAGACTTTTTTTTTTTTAGCAGTAATGCTTGAGTGCAGAAGTAATTAGGCTTATTATAAATTGATATGTTTTCACCAGTAAAAATATTGTCAAAGTGGAATCCTCATGTCCCTGGGGTAGGGTGAGAGTCAAGGTGCTAACAGTGATGCTGTAAACTGTGTCAATATTTAACAGCCCTCCGTGAACTAATGATCCTTAAGAAGACATGAGATACTAGGAAGAAGAGGGTAGTGAGCAGAAATGATAACCCATGACCACACAATCATAGCTCTGTGTCTGTATATGTCAAAAAAAAGATGAGAAAAAGATGCACTGTGATTGATGATTATGGGAGGAAAACAATCTTGAAAATTCTCAAGCACTGCATCTTCTCCACCTGCCTTCCTCTTTCCATACCCAGTAGGAGCGCATTGATGTTCCTCACCTTCAATGACAATGAATCACATAGACAAGGTAAATAATCTATCATATTCTGCTGGCAGCCAAGAAAGGATGATCTGTAGAGAGGTTTAATTTCCCAAGATCCTGTATGAAATCAATCCCATAGAAATGTTTCATTGATCATATTTAGCACCAGTTGAAAATTACAAAGTATTTTGGTGGTAACAGCTTTGTCTGAAACCATACAAACTGAAGTCCTTCCATTTGTTTCTTCTAACGATGCTCAGGAGTCTCATAAAGGTAAATTCTACAGAGGCTCTAGAGTTTCATTTCAACTGGTAGCAGTATACGTAATTATTGAGTGAGGGGAGAGCAACATACAGCTACTAAATATATAAAAGCCTACTATTCAAAATGTCCCCTCAGGAGTTCAACCGGGAGACCGGAAATTCAATCGCTCGCTATGATGTGTGATGACCACCAGGGGGCAGCACAGAACAAAAGAAGGCCCCGGCTGGCAGCCAGTGGCCGCTAGGGACCCTACCCCTGCATGAATTTCGTGCACTGGGCTTCTAGTTAAAAATAAGTGAGGATGGCTTGGAATAATTTCATAAAATGATTACAATAGTTTCAGCAGCTTTGTCTGCCAAATTTTTAATATTAAGATAAAACTAAAGGGTCTCCAGAGATCCTGTAGGTTTGACCAGCTTTTCTTTAGAGAACTTGACACTTCCATGAAGTCTACTATGTCAGATAATCAATCAGAGCTATTTATGATCCCTGCAGTACAGCAGTGAAAGAGAGGCATAGGTCCAGCTGCAACATGCTAAATATCATCTGATTATGGTTGTGTTCTGTTACTGCAAGAAACTGCACTAGAGTGTGACCAGCTGTTCTCCACATCCATGTTCTCTGCTGCCTGCACACCAGCAAGGCTTCTTTTCTCAGCTTGTCCTGCAGCTCTGCAGGGCAATGCGACTGAGTTCTAGCTAAAGGTGTGCTATTTTGTTTATTCTTTTGTATGGAGGTTTCATTCCTGTTGTTATTGTTGGAATTTATTCAAATTTTATTATTTTTACTTAAATGAGTTATTACTTTATAAATATATTTTATACAGAGGAGGCCCTGTTTCACTTGCTATCTCTGATCCCTGGATTACCCAATATAACCTCCAGCAGCCTCAGCTCACTTGAAGGCTAGAGCACTATTCTAAGGACTTGGGTTCAGTCGATTTGGCAATGCTTCCAATTTCTTTACTTTTGTTGCTGTTATTTGCCTTCCTATATGTGCTATATACTCTTATCAATTCCTTATCATAGTTGAGGAGGATTTAGAAGTTTTAATCCATCTCTTTCTCATAATCTTGGTCCCATTCCCTGCATACGTATATCACAACTAGAGGCCTGGTGCATGAAATTTGTGCATGGGTAGGTTCCCTAGCCTGGCCGGCAATCAGGGCCAATCTGTGAGGTGACCGGCGAGGTAATCAAGGGGCCCCTGCTGGCACCCGCATTGGCCTGTCTGGTGCCTCCTGCTTGCTGGCCTTGCCTCCCACTGCCGGTAGCCTCCCTCTGCAGGGTGACAGGCGGGATGATTGGGGGACCCCTGCTGGCACCTGCCTTGGCTGGTCTGATGCCACCAGCTTGCCAACTCTGCCCCCACCAGTCACCTCCCTCTGTGGGGCAACCAGAGAGATGATCAGGAGGGCCCTGCTTGCACCCACCTTGGCTAGCCTAGGCCCTGCAGGCTGGGGGCAGCTCCTGCATTGAGCATCTTCCCCCTCGTAGTCAGTGTGCATCTAGTGATTGGTCGTTCTGCCTGTTGTTCTGCCATTCAGTCAATTTGCATATTAGGCTTTTATTATATAAAATTTTCAAATAAATCTCAATTTAGTTTTTACATTATGACAATAAATATGTTATTTACTACTAACCTAATGAATGCATTATAATTATTGTTTAAATCTTATATTTTTAATTTTTCTGTGAGTGACTAATTCTCTAATATTTTCTATCATTTATTTTAATGACATATTCTATACATTAAGTACATAAAATACTATATGCATAATTTTATAAGAATAATATACTATATAGTTATAACATAATATTATATGTATAATATACCATATATATTATATACATAACATTTTACAAGATTTACTTTAACACATCTATCAAGTTTTCTCATTATTATTTCTGCATGATCAAATTAAACAGGTAATCTACCAATTTCTTTCTTCTGCCAGCTTGAGTTTGCCTAAACCTTACACACACACACTTTACCAGAATAACCTGTTAACCAAGCAAAGACTATCCTGCTGTTTATAAAGGAGAACACAGAGAGCCTTACCAGTGTCATAATATATCAGAAAAGAAAACATAGAGGACAGTATTTATAGGGCTTTTGATTTGGATTGAAATGATTTAAGGTTAGGAATTTACTGGGGTTAAGCAATATTAGTGAAAAATTAATTGGGACAAGAGAGTGCTTTTTGAAGTGGGTCCAGATAACTATATTGTTGATTCATTAGTGGTTTTTGCTCTTTTTTTTTAATTGAAAAATTAATTTTCCAGATGAAAAATATATATTTGCATAGACAAATTGATTTCCAGGAATTTCTAGACCCTGGTAGTGACATTATTAGTTTTCTACCTTATCTTTCTAGGCAAAAAAAAAAAAAAAAAAAAAAAGTTATTTTGATGGGGTGAGGGGCAGGGGAGTGTCTCATTTCTTAGTTTGATCACTAAACTGGGTAGACATAGATGGCTTCAATACAGTCTCTCCCTCCCTTAACTTCCTTCCTTATTATTTTTGAGAACTTAAATGCCTAAAAATGTTTTCATGACAACTTTGTGTTTGATTGCTAGATTGCTGTGTATACAATTCCAGACTAAAACCATATCCTCCAGAATTTTCAAGTCAATGTTCTATTGTCCTACCACTTCCAGGGTTGCTTTTGAAAGTACAATGATCTTTGGCTTATTTCTTTATAATGAAGAGCCTTTTCAATCATCAATCTGGACAATTAGTTAACCTTTTAGACTGTAATCCTTCAGTTGTTGGGAATATTTCTAAATTAATCCTTTATAATTTTCTCTTCTCCATTTTCTTTGCTTATCATTTCTGGAACATTCATGTATCTGATGTTGTGCATTCTGACAAATTATCTCTAATTCTTACCCTTTCTCTCCTATTTTTTTTTTTTTTTTTATCTCTTGGCTTTTTATTGTTTGCTCAGAGATTTTTTTTTTTTACTAGATGCTTCCTAATTTCTAAATAATTGTTGGCACCATTAATATTCCTTTTTTTCCATTCCTGTTCTCTTTTTCTTTGTAGATTAATAATCTTTTCATTACTTTACTAAAATTTTAGTAGAAGCTCAAAGAAATTAGAGGCAATAGGTTTTTAATTTGATAGAGATAACCAAAAGTCTATATTGATTTTTATTATAAATTTTGTTATGTTTTTCTCTCTTTTAAAATGTTAATGTTCTACACCTGAAACTAATATAATATTGTATGTGTACTGGAATTGAGAAATAAAAATTACTTAAAAATTAAATAAATAAAATTTTAGATTATGACAGTAATAATGTCAGAAGTTTGCCCATTATATTAACTTTTAAAAGAAATATTTTGTGTATTTATCCATTTGATTGTTTTTTCTCTTCTGATTTGTAATTTCTATTATCTCCTGCTTTTCTTAGAAATATAACAATAAAATTAACCCTAAGTTTAAAATAGATGAGTTATTTTTATAACTATTCTTGTTTATTAGTAACATATTTAAGACTTCAGTGTAAAAATTTTCTAAAATTGAACAGTTGATTTCCTCTTTGACATTAGAGTTAATTAGGATAGTGTTTTTAATTTTCAATATCTGGGAAATTTTCTTTCTTTTGACATTTCATATTAAATTATACTTTGATGATATTCTATTTCAAAAATGTGGTTTACATAATTACTGATTTTCAAAACTTGATGAGGTCTTTTCCTTGATCTTATAGTTAGTGAACAATATTGGTTGGCTGACCCAATTTCTAGCTCCTTCTCTTGCTGTATTCCAGCTGCAGGGGACCATATGACATGTTTCCAAAGTGGCAATCTGTTGTATTTCCTGGTAAGAATTTTTACTTTCATGAAAAAACCCATCCATCTTTTTTCTTTCCATTTGCCTTGAACATAGATGTTATGCTGCCAATAGCAACAGCAGACATATTAAAACCCTGAAGGAAAGGCTAAGAAAATCACAGAAGAAATCTAATGTAAAACCGTGAGCTTTTGAACCAGCATCAATTACTGTTTCAACTGGACTTTTTGCTATGTGAGAGAGAAAAAATACAACCAACCAAACAAAAAACATTTTTGAGCCTCTGGCACATTTTAGGCTACTTGAAGTTATTCTATACTAATACAGACCTAACATATGATGATTCTTTATAAATGTTTCATAGGCATTTAAAAAAACATTGTCTATAATACTCAAAATATTAACATAATATTTACATAGCTATTAAATAATTTTAGAAATAGTATAGTTTTATAGTTTTATTATTTACTTTTACCTATATTAATCAGTTAAATGAGCAGAAATCTTAAAGTCTGCCATGAATTTTCATTTCTTAAATATCTCCATATATTTCTGTTTAAATTTTTTACCTGATTCTTGTACATTTAATTTGTTAGTTGGCTCATCAATGTTTTTGACTTTTCTACTACTATTGCTGATTATTTCCATTATTTACTTAATTTTTTTATTAGTGCTTCATTCTCTAAAATTTACAATTCACTTTGTGACCCCATTTGTTCCATTTATTTTCCCCATCGTTTTGGTTTTAATCTTTATCTCTCTCCTTTTTATTTTTGTTTATGTGCTGGTTAGCTGGTGCAAGTATGTGATACAAAATTCAAAGGGAACAGAACAGTGCATGGTAAAAAGTAAACTTCCTTTTACCTCTGCCCCAGTCATGCATCACCCCTTAATAGCTTTTAGTGAATCTTTCCAGAGGTATTCTATAAATATAGAAAAAAATGCATCATATATGCAATTTTGACAGAAATACTATCAAAATACATATATTTTTATTTACCTTGCCTATCACTTGACTTGAATTTCCTTCCATTGGAAGTCTATACCATTGTTTTAAGTAACTATATACTCTTCTACTATATATGTTCCATAAATTTACCAAGTCCCTATTATGAATATGTATACTTTGTAGCTAGCATAAGATGGAGTTTGATTATTTAACTATGGAGAGCAAACTACACTTCTAGTTTGAGATTTGTTCTTGGCCCAAAGTAACAGAAATCTCTGACATTAACACAGATAAGAAACTGTGTTATCTCACATATTTGGAAACCTAGGTGATGTAATCAGTGGCTCTATTATATAATTAAGGACCCCTGACCTTTCCACCTCCCCAGTATTCCATCTTTGCAGTGACTTCACCCTAAACCTAATTCTCCTTATAGTTTCAACATGGTCTACAGCAAAGACTGAAGTCTTCCTTTCAATGGATTAGGGCCAGTTTAGACCATGTATCCATTCATGGACTAACAAGAGCTTGGAGGGCAACTCTGTGCACTGATTAGCTTAAACTATGAAGGGCTATCCTCAAAGGAGAGAGAATATTGTGGATTTCTTTAAAAATCTGAGTTCTGTTAGGAAGGAAAATGTGAATAAATATTAGGAATGCCATCAAATGTCTACTGTATGTTCTTAATTTAAAAGACTTTGGTTTTGCCCTTGCCATGTGTTCAGTTGGTTAGAGCATTGACCCCATATGCCAAGGCTGAGGGTTCACTCCCAGTCAGGATACATACAAGAAGCAACCAATTAATGCATAAATAAGTGGAACAACAAAGCAATGTTTCTCTCTCTTTCTCTTCTATAAAATCAATTTAAAAAATTTAAAGATAAATAAAGACTTTGGCTTTAAATAGAAAAGTATATTAATTCACATTAATTCTAATTTATTGTCAAAGTTAATGTATTTTCTTTTCAATTTAATATTTTTTTCTTTTCTATTTCTTATAGGCAGTGTTCTATAATTTACTTTATAGACTTCATTATATTATCTTCAGTATTTTTCTATAAAATTAAAAGGTATATATATTGTTACTATTTTCTAAAAGTTTCTTTCAAATAAAAATTAATCTATGTTTCTAGCTTTTTAAAAAGGAGACCCTATGCATTTCTTTTTTTAAAAAAATGTATTTATTTATCCTAGCTGGTTTGGCTCAGTGGATAGAGCATTGGCCTGCAGACTGAAGAATCCCAAGTTTGATTCAGGTCAAGGGCACAATAAAATAAATATATATATATTTTTTTCAAATTTATTTTTTAATACATATATTTTTAATTTTTTTAATTTTTTTATTGCTTAAAGTATTACAAAGGGTATTACATATGTCTCCTTTTTCCCCCTGCCCTTGACAATCCCCTGGCCTCCCCTACCCCCCAGTGTCTTATGTCCATAGGTTATGCTTATATGCATGCATATAAGTCCTTCGGTTGATCTCTTACCACCCCCTTCTGCCCCCCTAACCTCCCCGGCCTTCCCACTGCAGTTTGACAGTCTGTTTGAGACAGCTCTGCCTCTGTATCTATTTTTGTTCATAAGTTTATAATGGTCTTTATTATCCATGAATGAGTGAGATCATGTGGTATTTTTCCTTCATTGACTGGCTTATTTCACTTAGCATAATTGATTTCAGAGAGGGAGAGAGAGGGAGAGAGAGATAGAAGCATCCGTGATGAGAGAGAATCATTGATTGGCTGCCTCCTGCACATCCCCTTCTAAGAATTGAGCCCACAACCCAGGTATGTGCCCTGACCAGGAATGGAACTGTGACCTCCTGATTCATAGGTCGACTGAGCCACAACGACTGAGCAATGTTTCTAATTATTAACAGCAATAATGAAACAGCATGCCACACTTCATTATATAAAGAATTTATAATATATAAAGAAATTAGCATATCTTTATTTTCTTTCACCCCACCAACTTTCCAACTTTTTTCCACAAATTGGGATGCTAAGTCACTATTATAGTTGATTGTTTATATTTTGTATGTCACATGTGGAAAATTATTTGTACCTTCCATATTGTTGTACACTTAAAAAATATTTATGATTAATGCTATATTTAGCTAGTTTTGATTTTCAGCTCTCGTTCTTTTATGTCATGGATTTGCCATTCATGAATTTTTAAGTTTGATGAATCACTTGTTCAATAAAAGTGTATCTGAAACTCTTGTTTTTTTCTAGATGCAAGGCTGGTTTTGCAAAGCAACATAATGTTCATTTGGTTAGTTGTTTTCTTTTCCTCCCTAGCACGGACTTGGACAATGAAATGTACTTATCGAGGCTCCTGAATCATTAGCCAAAGATGCAAAGAAGCAAGGACTGTGGGAAATACTGTCTCACAGCGTTAAAAACACAGAATCATTGTTTTGAGAAAGCACAGAAGCAGCAGAACTCGCAGTGAGTGGCCTTTAGTGCCTGTAGCTGTTGGCATAAACTGTGTCCACAGTTGAGTGCCAACCTGTCTCCTGCCTGTTTTATAACCCCAGTTTTTCAGCACCCCCAATGTTCTATGAGCAGCCTAATATCTAACTAACTTTACGCTTTGCTTAAATGTTAGTTCTGAGTTGGTTTCTGATGTTTAAGAACCACAGATTCCTAGACTACTCCCTGTGCTGAGGGGGTTAAGCTTCCAACATCCAGTTGTTTTTCTGTTTGCTTTAGCCTCTCAGTGAACCACAGTTTTCATGTGCTGCTCCTTTGCTCTAAGAAATAAATATCTAACAAGCACTTTCCCCAATGGCCTGATAGCCAGTCTTCACCCCTGGTCCCAGGCTCTGTAAATCAAAAGCTTTAAGGGGGATTTTTTTCAAGAGCTGCTCTACATGCTTCCTCCTGACATTTATTTTTATTCAGAGAGGTTGCTGGAAGTCAACATTCACTGAACTGCCTCAATTTCTTTCCATCAGCATTCTATCTAGAAATTTCTCAAAGATTCTGACATCTCAGCAGAACCCTTTGCTAGTGTTCTGTTGTTGTTGTTTTTCCTCTACACTTTTTATTCCATTGACTGTTTTAATGGTGATCCAGAAAAAGGGCAGTTCATCTTACTGTATCATCATATTTCACTACTTAGCCATTTAGGTGTGTTACATACAATAAGGGGTAAAATAAGGATATTTTCTAACTGCATTAATACCAGTCTGATGTACTTGTTAATGAACAAAATTCAAAAGGGTGATATCCATATTGAAATGGACCCTGGACCTAATCCTTACATTTCGAAGTAGTATATATATTATAACCTTTGAGAATCTGAACAAGCACCTCTTTGTAGTTTAATAATTATAACCGGCAAACACCTTTGACTTGCAAAATGCTTTTTTCTTCACTTGACTTCACTCTGACCTTAAGAAATCAATCAATGCTCCTGATATTCTACACCAAAGAATTTTTAAAATTAAAGAGAGAGAGAGAGAGAGAGAGAGAGAGAGAGAGAGAGAGAGAGATTGTCTTGTTGTTCCACTTATTTATACACTAGAGGCTCAATGCACGAAATTTGTGCAAGGGGCTCGGCCTTCACAGACCTGGCTTCGTCCGGAAGGTCATCTGGAAGGACGCTCGGAAGGTCATTCTGCTGTCTGGTCTAATTAGCATATTATGCTTTTATTATTATAGATTCATTGGTTAATTCTCATATGTGGCCCGACTGGGGATTGAACCCAAATATTGGCATATGGGGGCAACACTCTAACCTACTGAGTTACCTAGCCAGGGCCCATCCTAAGGGCTTTTTAGCCTAACCAATAAGTAGTGAAAACCATGCACTGACTTTTTCTAAAAAAAATGTTATTTTAGAATTGTCTGTGTGGTGTTTATTCTCCCTTGCTGCAATCTCATATGACTCTGTTTATATCATCACGGGGTTCTTACTATATGGACTAGGCTTTTCATACTCTTCACACATACACACAAAATTTGGGAGATAGAGAAGAATCTATCCATTACCTTATGTCCGTGGTCGGCAAACTGCGGCTTGCGAGCCACATGCGGCTCTTTGGCCCCTTGAGTGTGGCTCTTCCTAAGTCTTA